ACTGTGGTGTTTTGTTAAATCATAGACATCCATGTAAGTTTACATTCAAACTACACTCATGCAGTTGTGCTGCTACACCACATGTACTGGTGTAATGTTACACCTGATTGGTATGGTGTAATGCCAGCATCAATCACGTCTAGCTTATCGCCAAAAGAAATATAATATTTCTCAATGAAAGGACGACCGTTAGACCATAATTTTCACCAGCCTGCATTTTTTTATGATGTCGTATGTTGGTATTTACTTTTTTGTTACTCTTTGTTATACGTCAAAGATTGATGGTCCAGGCGCAGTCGGTGTACACGGTATGCTGTTTAACTTTGGATATATCGTCTCCGTGGTTTCTGAAAAAAAAAACGCCATTTAAACTATATAAAATTGACAAGTTCACACAGACATCTAATGTCTTGATGTAGATAGGTATCATTACATGTAGCATTCACGGTTCAAGATAATACCAGTTTTTTGGATTTAAATTAAAAATTTACCAGGAAAATTATTACGGAGGATTCTAAACCGACTTGTAAAGAATAGTTAATATACAATTGTATCACATTTAACTACCATGTAATAAGTGTACAAGAATATCACACAATAAATACATTTTGTGACAACCACACGTGTAATAACACATGTGTAACTATAATAGACCGAAGGCCTCCTTAGTTGCAATTGTGCCTTAATAATTTCATGACCACATATGCATTATGACATCATCCAAATGAAGCGATCATATGGTAGTAAATTAGATTACGGATAACATGATAAAGTGCAGAATTACAGAAATTTTCAATCGTTTCCTTTTTTAATGAGATTAATTAAACTTACCACTTTTTTTTATTTTACAACGCAAGAAATAGAAAGTCATACGTGATCCTTTATTAGAATAATTTGAGTTTTGTAATATCTATCTGTCGGGTTTACCTGGTTGGTGAAGTGAAGCGTACTCTAATTCCCTTTCTGTAAAAAAAAAAAAAAAAACATACCGAATTAGTAAGCAGTTAGCAGGACTATCTTAAGCCTATCCAGATTTATAAATATTGATTCTGCTAACCATCAGATAAAAACATTTGATAACATTGCAACAAAGTGTATTTACATTGGGGTAACCATATATTTTACTTGGTGCGCGTTAGCAAGCCATATGTAGTTACTCCAGTGCAAACAATATTCGAAGCATGTAGCATAATTAATAACAATCCTAATATTAACATTTTGTAACCTCATAATTTAATGATTTCAGAATCAAATAGTTTTATAATGTCATAGGAACAGCGGCGGATCGAACCGCCATATTATAATGGAAGTAGTAGGTGGTGTCATTTTGGAGTCATTGACGACGCCACCACATTTTTTATAATTACAAAACTACGGTCGCTTTACGAAGTGACAACCGTCAGAGACACGGGAAAATGATTTTCTATATTGTGTGAAAAATTATACTAACCGAGCTTATTGCTGTAGCTGTTATTTCCTGTATCGCATTCTTCACGAACTATAGTTGGGAACAAAGGAAATGTGATTATATTCATTATTACAGATGATGTAAATAAAAAATATCTATCTATTTTATTGTATAAAGGACAGTCTATAGAAATCTAAACTATCATAATGCACAGGAACTGGATCGCTAGTGACATTTGTGAGTTAAATTAATATCAACAGGAATGCAATCAAGCGGTACGCTTCATACATGCATATCACATGCAAGTGTAACAGCGGATCTTTGGTTTACTAGTCTTGAGCTCAACCGATCGAGCTTAGGAGAAGTTCTCTCTAACCGAGCTGTATATTACTGATAATATTTACCAGGGTTACAAACTTCCACTCCAGGAAATAACTCAACCTCGAGTTTTCCAGTAGCATCAGCGATGCTCATGGGGCATGGCGAAGTATTATTCCCGAATCCCTACGTGGGCGCCAATGTAAGATAATATAATATAAACTTTATTTGTTTTACAACAATTGCGAAACAAGTTATTTAAACTTATACTAATCACTCTTGTTGGCCCGGATGTAAGCGCGCGAGGGGCCTTATTGTGGGAGGAAACTATACAAAACCCACGCGGTCTATTTTCATTATTAGGTGAAAGGCGAGTGCTTCACTATGATCCTTATGTATTTCTATACATATATTATTGCTGCTTCTTATGATCCTTGTAACTATAGCTAAATTTAAATGTATCATTTGTCAACACCTGATTTTTTTTTATATAAACGATAATAAATACTCTACCTAAGTGACGCCTTTCATCTCCGTAAGACTCTTTTTCTCGCCTCAAGAGTGCAGCAGCTGCAAAAAAATAATTTTTCATATCATTAATGCCATAACGTCTTGTTATAACAATCAAATGTACAAATTTATGCATGGCGACCAGTTATCTTCTTATGTCTTGATATTTGCAATGATTGTTTGTTGAAGGTAATGTACATACCGAGTGATGCCTTGATTTTGAAAAGGAAAATCGTAACGATGACGAGTGTCATAAACAGTACGATAGTTTGTGTAATCGATACCAGCAGCAAATCCCTGTGAAATAAGTCAAATGAGAAATATATACCATAGGAATGCCAGGATCAAGACTTTGTAGATGTCTCGAATTAGATACATAAAACAACAAGATAAAGGCATGGACGTCGTCACAATTTTCACAGGAAGAAAAACGTGATTCCTGCATCAGAACCAATTCGTGGCGATTATTTTAAGCAAAATAGAATTATATCATACAATATTACAATCGTTGCTTATAAGCCTTGCCTTAATTAGCGGCGATTAGCTATAGCGAATACGTTTCGATTATGTCGGACATTTACGAAACAAATTTAGGCCATATAATATTTTGGTGGACATTCTCAATCTTGATTTTGATTAATTGATATATGTAAGACATGCGCCATAACCACATGTACGAAAATACCCTGCACTAAACGTCTTTATACAGGATGTTAATGAAGTACCTTGGGGATTGTTGTAAACGTCATGATAAGACGGGATGTTGATGAGGTACCTTAAGGGATTGTTGTAAACGTCATGATAAGACAGGATGTTGATGAGGTACCTCGGGGATTGTTGTAAACGTCATGATAAGGCAGGACCTTAAGGGATTGTTGTAAACGTCATGATAAGACGGGATGTTGATGAGGTACCTTAAGGGATTGTTGTAAACGTCATGATAAACGTGTTGATGAGGTACCTTAAGGGATTGTTGTAAACGTCATGATAAGACGGAATGTTGATGAGGTACCTTAAGGGATTGTTGTAAACGTCATGATAAGACGGGATGTTGATGAGGTACCTTTGTTGTAAGGGATGTTGATGAGGTGTAAGGTATTGTTGTAAACGTCATGATAAGACAGGATGTTGATGAGGTACCTGGGGATTGTTGTAAACGTCATGATAAGACAGGATGTTGATGAGGTACTTTAAGGGATTGTTGTAAACGTCATGATAAGACAGGATGTTGATGAGGTACCTTAAGGGATTGTTGTAAACGTCATGGTGAAATAGAATGCTGATTACGTACCTGCAACTGTTATCGTCATGCGCCTCCTTTGACTGTGTTTGTATGTTTTTTTCTGCAGAATTGAAATATGCGTCTATCATATGATAATCTAATTCACCTTACAACAGGAAGAGGACACGCTTTAAAATGTTCTACATGCTATCGTTATTATACCTACAATAACCTTTTAAACGTTTATTCTTTTTCTCTATTACTTATCTTCTTTGTATTATTATATCGTACCTATCGAAACACGCACTTCCTCTAACATACAAGTAGATTATCTATTTTTTCGTGAGAACAGGCTGGGTGATGTAATTGGTTGAAAGATTATGAGTTAAAACAAAAAAGTGGCTCATGGTCCTTAACGGTCATCTGACATAAAATACAAGATTTCAAATTTTGAACTTGAGAAGAAGTCGAAAATGTGTTTTCAAGATGGCGACCATGGCGGCCATGTTGGATTTCAGACCAACCCGAAATTAACAAAGTTTGGTCAGGATCATGTCACGATCATTTCCGGTAAGTTTCAGCTCAATGAGACATATAGAACTTGAGAAGAAGTTGAAAATGTTTATGACGGACGACGGACGACGCCGGACAAAAGGCGATCGCAAAAGGTCATCAGACCCTTCGGCCAAATGACCTAAAAAGGAAAGCCATTACAACATTATATTAGGTATTCAATGCGATTAAATATCATGAAATAAGAATATATCTTACTGGTTTAGAATATAGATATTCATTTAAAATGAAGATAAATCAGACATTAAGGCAGAGTTCAGACCCAATTTTGTGTCAAACCTGGAAGATTTGACTATAAATATGTCATAGTTTCGCCAATTTGGACGAGAAAGAAGTAATAAAAACTACATAATCGAAATATCGCTCGTCATCAATACAAATTCTCAAGTTCTGTCTTCAATATAAAATTGTAGCAATGAGTCAAAAAAGGAATCTTACCATTTTCACCTCTAGAAATATCGTCTAAATCTTCATTCCTGAGATGTGATGACGTCGATAACTGGGTTGTCGTACTTACAGCTGGCGTAGTACTGAGTAGTTCTCCGCACTGAACATCTGTCGTTGTATTCCCAGGTGTACGAATTTCCTTGTTTTCCATTTCACAACTATATAATTAAGAATAAAACTATGAATGTACATAAAGAAATTGAAATCAATAGTGAAAATATAGGTACAACCGCAAAAATACTTCTTTGATTTTTCATTTTAGAAATAAAGGAAAACATGAAAATGACTCCGCGTTTATCATATGGAATGGAAGATTTAAAAAATGACAATCACTCTGTAAATGGTTTGCACGGTCCATATCCTTCAAGTGGTTTGAATGTACCTGGCGGACAATGGTCGCAACTTCCGGCTACAAAAGATAAAAACGTATATCATTAAAGATGTATGTTAAAAAGTGTCAGTTATATTTCATTTTTTTCTGGATTGAACGACGGAACAGTACTTGATTAAAGCTACCATACTTAGTTGATTAAAGCTACCATACTTAGTTATTCAACAGACGTGTTTGATACTCGATAGTTTGGTTCTGTTGTTGTATGCCTCGCTCTCATTTGAGATCCTTACATTACCTTGGATTCACTCAGATTTACATAGTGGGTGTTCCGGAACACCCAGTCTTATTCTCCCTGTACTTTTCATGAGTCTCCGTGTAATTTTTGTCGTTGTTTCTATTTTGTCCCAGTTTTAAGGAATTTGAGTTTGGATTATGATGATGTTGACATATTGGTATTTTTAGCTGTTGTTTATAACATGCGGTTTACGTGTTACAATTCAAAGCTCTTGTTTACATACCATATAACAACAATAAAGACCAACGAGTGACAAGGAGAAGTAAACAACGCACGGGAAGTGATAGACATTGACAAGTTGTGAGCTTAGGTATGTGGGCAGTGTATCACCTGTTTCGCTACCTTGTATATGTAATGTGTGTGTATTACATATAATGTTTGGAAAGGGCTTTATATAAGTTGTAAACCTTGTGCCCAATCCTATTGCAACTTATGTGCATCAAACATGTTTAAATCAAACTGACATTTTAACGGAATCTTAATTTAAACACAAAATCAATTACTTATCAATATTTAGATGTAGAATTAGAAACAGACAAACCGATAAATTATATATACTGTATCGTACAGCTGTTTCGTTGTTCAATAATTCGTCAATGATAACAAATTGGGTAGATGCATTTTTATCCTAGAATTCCATAATTTTTTTAATATTCAGTATTTTAAAAACACGTTGATGTGTATATCAATAAGCCCCACCCCACCCCTTATCTTATATAACCTGTTGATATTATCATGTTTATATTACTTCGCGTCCTGTTAATATCTATGATCACTTAAAGACAGTTATGTTATATATCAGCAATAACTTTTTTATACCAGGAATTTATCAGCTTCATGAATTTACCTATTTTTAACTCCATTCCGGGAGGACATTTTGAACATTTGGTACATATTTGAAAATCGTCTCCCGCATATCCACGTGACGTGTCACACTGACACACTGACTTTCCCTCCTCACTGAAAGCCAGGGACGCCTCTGTGAAACAACATTATAAGAAGTGAGAACACATAACATAGACAAACAGATCAGTAATAACACGACCATATTTTTATTTGGAAATTTTGGAAAGAACTGAAGACACACGGGAGCTTAACACCTTAAATCAAAGAATATAGAACAGAATAGGGGTTAAACGAGTACAGCTTATTAACATGAAACTTGTACAATTCTCTCAGAAGTTCAACTCTTTCCCATAATAATTATGTAAATGATAATTGTCCCATGGACGACGACGACGATGACATCGATGATGAGGATGATGATGATGATGATGATGAAGCGGTAATGCTTGATAATGCATATTGATTACATGTTCTGTTTTTGGTATTTTATATAGTGATTCAATAAGAACTTGTTTGTCGTTCGGTATTGATGTAACAATATTCGACACCATTGGATAAATACCTGGCGGACAGAATGTCTCCACTACAGTACACTTTGGGATCTCACGGGAGAAAAAAACATTTCTCGAGTCGACAGCTTTGGGCTGGATACTGCCATGATGACATCTGTGACAGTAATCGTTGGTGTAGTTCTTTTTACAGAAGGATAATTCTGTTGGAAACAGACCAGTCACAGGTCACTTAAAGCTCTTCTGGAACAGTTCCCCTATCTTATGGATATCAACACGCCTTACTGTTGTAAACTTGTTTTGAGTAAGGATTTCTTCAGACAAGAATAGACAAGAATTTCGTCAATCGGTATGAGCGCAGCTGAACATATTGTGGGTATTTAAACCCTTACGCCACAACTAGCTCGTCTTATTAAACTATAATTAATATGATATGTTGATGGTTACCCCATGTTATTTGTAAATCACGAGAACAACGTTAAAATTGTGAAGATTATGGTTAAAGGGAGATAACTCTAATTTATGCTGAAAATCCCGTGATACTATATTTATCAACAAACAGTATATTTGGAATGACTTTGTAATGAAACTGAAAATCCCAAATAGTATGGAAATGAGGTAAATGTATGACAGTTATTCTATTTCTAACCAAATACAGAAATCCTCTATGAAAATCGTAATAAGTCCACCACTAACATAACATAACTTACGAAACCCTTCTGGACATATAATTGGATTGCAGATCATTGTGCTTCCGGCTACGTAGTGTCTAGTCCACACCGAAGACTCTTGAGATTTCGTGATCTATTTGTGTAAAACAATACAATTTAACATATCAACAACAGCAGAGTTTGGTTTGTCATATCACACTCATATCATTATCTGTCAAAAGAAATATCTAAAAAAAAAGAAGGAAAAAATACGTAATTGTATACACATTCTACAAAAATTTTCTTGTGGAATCAGATTTGCAGCTAAGGAACGACAACTCTGGAAGAGGTTTTAAGTATGGTGACGTCATAAAAATGCTGCTGATTATTCCTTTTCCAACACGATCAAAAACAGTAAACGAATAATAAAACAAATACGAACGCAAAATATGACACAAAGGCACAGAATGATGAAGCCCATCCTCACAAACCGAAGAATGGAATATCGACAAACATGGTTTACCATAAATGCTATAATTAGATTTCGCGGAATTCCAATACATTTTGAAACTTTCCAAAAGGTGCATAGGTAGATAGACTGTATTTTTGTAACAGTGAGTGACATAATAACACATAACTGTTGGTAATAGTCATGTTTATTTATATGTTAAATAATAGTCACCTAGTGGTCACTGTCCGGAAGGGCAATTGCATAAATTTAATTATCAAGGAAGCTACGCCCGTTCCGTCCGATAGTTTAATTTGCACCACATGCTCTACAAACCCTGAGCTACTGCACTCCTCGCCTATCACCAGTAATAATTTGCCTATTTAACTGATCTACTACAGAACCATGACTTAGCTACATTGTCTTACTTCCCAATACTAATCCTACAATAAGTTGAAGAAATTAACATATACATATCAATACCTTATTGTGTAACAATTTTTGATAACAAGCAACTTCAAAATGTTAGTCACAACACCGTTTCTGACTTTCAAAATCATGTGCAAATTTTCCAGTAAAACTAATATTTGTCAAGTTGGTTAAATATATTATTATAGTAGCCTACAACGAGTTATGAGAAAATTATTGTTGTACGTAATATGCATGTGCTATCATCCATTGGTAGTTTCTTTATTCACATCTATTCACATACCTTATCAACACACACACCTTGACCTAAACTTGTGTTTATTAAATTAAGAGGGGAAATAAAATATACTGTCTTGTTATTGATTAACGTTGTCACTGTGATCAAACCCCAATCAGAACATTCAGTTACCGATTGTATGTACACACTCCTAATCATGATTGTATAATGGAAACAGGTATCACGCCTACGTGTATATCATCCTCAGTGCAATAGAGTTGTTTTCCGGATGAAAACAAACATGTACTGTTGTCTTGATGTAATCGACTCTAAAACCCACCAAATATACAACAAATACAATTAATGTAATCGGTTTCAGTTTATCAATAAAATTGTTTGTCCCTGTAATGACAAAATGCGGAGGATTGTGGTGGTGGTGGGGGTGGGGGCATTTCTTCTTAGATCCAAAATAAACTGTAATAATAGTAACCATTAGTAATGTGTGACGTCCCTGATCACGTCCTGATCACGTTTTTGTTGTTTTCATTTTAGTTTTTAAGAACAGCTAATTTGGGTTTCCACAGAGAGCTAATTATAGATTTATAGGTAATATCCATCACGTGATGACTCACCCAAACCAAAAGCAGTAACTGTTTCCGGTATAACGTCTGAAATTAATAAAATCTTTATAATGGAAAAGCATTTGTATGTGTGTACCATGTCCCTGCTCCTTCTCTGTGTAAGCAAACACGCGGAAGTGGATATTCAAGAAAGCAATAAGTGACAAGGAGAAGTAAACAAAGCACGAGTGACAAGGAGAAGTAAACAAAGCACGGGAAGTGATAGACATTGACAAGTTGTGAGCTTAGGTATGTGGGCAGTGTATCACCTGTTTCGTTTGCATGAGAAAGGATCAGATGCATGATCTACATATATACAAAGTATAAATCTCGTGTCATATACATGATAGTTACACTGAATGTATGGGGGCAATGATACATAACACAATTAACTTCGTTCCTCATTTTTACATTCGATGGATGACTTCACAGATGGAAATCTACTATGTTACACATGGTCACTATTCCACCGATTGTACATAAATCTACTATGTAACACACGGTCACTATTCCACCGATTGTACATAAATCTACTATGTAACACACGGTCACTATTCCACCGATTGTACATAAATCTACTATGTAACACACAGTCACTATTCCACCGATTGTACATAAATCTACTATGTAACACACGGTCACTATTCCACCGATTGTACATAAATCTACTATGTAACACACGGTCACTATTCCACCGATTGTACATAAATCTACTATGTTACACACGGTCACTATTCCACCGATTGTACATAAATCTACTATGTAACACACGGTCACTATTCCACCGATTGTACATAAATCTACTATGTAACACACGGTCACTATTCCACCGATTGTACATAAATCTACTATGTAACACACGGTCACTATTCCACCGATTGTACATAAATCTACTATGTTACACACGGTCACTATTCCACCGATTGTACATAAATCTACTATGTTACACACGGTCACTATTCCACCGATTGTACATAAATCTACTATGTTACACACGGTCACTATTCCACCGATTGTACATAAATCTACTATGTAATACACGGTCACTATTCCACCGATTGTACATAAATCTACTATGTAACACACGGTCACTATTCCACCGATTGTACAATTATTAAGAAACTCTAAAGACAATACCTATGTCTTACGTTGAGTTTATGGTATCTGTGAACGGAAATGAAAACTAGGTGAGAATTATATCCTATATTTATGTACAAAGACTCTGTTATAATACGAAGAAGTCTTAATCTATTAGTCATATCTGAGTACAATTTGATACTACCTGTATTGTAAATTGAATGTCAACAGTCAACATTTTCTCTGAATGTACTTCTTTTCTGCAAATAATGCAGTCGGGCGGAATTGAATAATATATCATGTGTTTATTACTGAAGGGTTATATCTTCTGGACGTGAGTTTTTCACCGCTGTGAATTTGAGACATTTTTTTTAGTATATTTTCAACCTTTAGCCATATATGAAGTATACTATTTATATATACACTTTCTTTTTTTACATAAAATCGTAAATGAGCTTTCATTTTAAATGCTATATCATAAAACGTGTCTTTGATTTCATTTTGCGAGCATTGGTAAGCCAAAACTGAAAAAAAAACTTTCATAAAATTCTCATAAAATCACATATGATAATAAAACAATTTAGGGTATTTTTAATCAAATAACTCAATTACATTTTAATATATTGAAGTTAATTTGTGGATGGCAAAATCAAACGAAGCAGACATTCTATTGTGTCATTTTAATTCCTGGCATACTGTTATTGTCCGTATTACGTTACAACAATCGATTTTCTGACTTCCAATAAAAACCTATCCAAGGTGATATATTTAAAGATATTAACTGGGTGAATTCAATGGGTAAAATGCGAATTACATGATAAATATATGTGTATACTGTCAACAGTTAGAGGAAGTTTGGTATAGAAAAAAAGCAGCCAGGAGCAGATTAAAGATAGTTTGTCTTACAGTGAGAGATGCAGTCGTGATTCTTCATGAAATGAGTTTTATCATTATAGAAGCAGTGAAAGGGACTGAAGTGGTAGTTATAAATCACAATTTTCATTGTTAATGTATACCCAGCATGCTTAATGATACTGCACCAAAGACGAGTGACGATTTTAATACAGAATCTCATTAAAAATCTGATGCGACCATATCACACATTATTTACATAATAAATATAATCCTGTAAATTTGATTTATAGCACTAGTTTTGTCTGTGGTCTGTCTGAAGTTCGCCAAAAACGTTCTATCTTTAAAGCTAATGAGGAGGCACATGTTTACTTATCCTATCAGGGAGTGCCATACTTTCCTGCATTTCAGAAGTGTTGTCTTACTTATTTAAAATGAAAATATTGAAAAAATATGAAGAATTTGTACAACATGATGCCCAGTGATCCACCAGGCTTTTAGACTTTTTGTGTAGGTTGTAGACTATAAAATAAAAGTTAGAAGTTCAAAAGGACATAACTAGGTCAAAACAGTCGACGTCGAAGAAGATTTAAACGCCGGAACCCTCGCCACAATAAAACTGAATAACGATAACACAAACACAATGAACACAATGCCGAAGGTCCGGCGAATATGCACGAAACCTAAACCTCGCGCTTTCAGACGGCCGATTCTAGAAGGAACAATACTATGCGACTGCGAATTCGAGGCTCAATGTTCGGGCGAATGGTAGACTGATATACTGGAATTCTTGAAACCATCAGGTAAACAATTGTTTCAAAAGGCTACCGAAACTAAACCATACCATTAAATATGACTTCCGGTAGTACTATAATGGAACAAAAATTTGAGAGTAAAAATCAAAATTATGGACAGTAAATAGTTTTTGGATTGAAATATCGATCTAAGCATTATATTGAGTCGTGAAAGGATGCAATTTTATTCTTGATTTTATAAAAAAGGACCAAAAATTCACCGATGAGGAAATGTACGGGCAACACAACTCGTTAATGAGTTTGCCTTAAAAGATTTGGACATAAGTATAAACGAAAAAGAACGTTAAATACAAACTTAAAATCAAACACAATACCAAATCATGCTTTTATCTGTAATAAAACTTTCTCTGCTGATCTGTTTGTTGGTGAATGAAGGTTGAATAAGCAGTGAAAAGATATGTATTCTGTCACATTCGTGAAATATATATGATATTAAACCGGAAAACCGTTTTCCTCTCTCTACATTGTATGTCCTCGAGTCTCCCAGGTACTTAACATAAATCCCATACCATAAAGATAAACATATGATAAAGTGAGAACATATTTTGAAATATATTTAGGTTTTAAGAAAAGTATTCAGTGTTGTTAAATATACAAGAGAACAAGTAAACGACAAAAGGCCTACTGTATTTCACACAAGAATGCTTCACAATCAGATCAATGTGTCACCCGTAAAACGTCCCCTGATATTTATTAAAGAATCTCAGCAGTAAGGTAAAATCGTTACATAGAGTTTTGTTTCTATGCTGTAAATTTTGATTTCGACCTGTTGTTGTTCTTGATCGTTTAATTGTGTTTGTTTTTCCTTGTTTGTTTGCTTTTGTCTTTGTTTTTGTTATTTTAATTTTTGTAAATATTAAATTAATTTTTGTAAATATTGAAAACACTACACAGTGCGGACATTAAGAAATTCGGCTATTCGGCTCACAAATTCATTCAAACAAGTTTTATTGTAGAAACATACAACGAGATTGGGCACAAGTTCTCACAACTTACTAGGCCCTCTCCTGAAAATACATTACA